AATTACGACTATAAACTAAAATTCATTAAACTTTTGAACAGTTTAAATCTGTAACATTAAAAGATCAGGCTGTTAAGGGTAAAAACCTGTTGCTTTGGTTGCTTAGTCGACCATTGAGGAGTACAAATTGCATATCAGAGTTTTCTTTTGATTTTAATCAAGTTAGTTCGTACAACAGTGGTTATATCTTTTTCTCCTTTGCTTTCGCCTTCGTTTTGATGATTGTTGAGGTGTTAAAAATATATATATATCTTGAAATTTTTTTGATTTGTAGTAATCAGGAACAAAATATTGGCCACCTCTCATCAAGAAGTATAATGTTCATTAGCTGCAGAAAAGTTGACCAGTAAAATTTTGGTTGCATTAAAAATTTCTTAAATTATTTATTTAAATGCAAGAAAAAAAATTTTTTTTTTTTTTGACGTCAAAAAGATAATTTCTTACTTTCTTATTTTTTTTTTTCTAAATGCAGTTTGGCGACAAATGATTAAAATATTCATGCGATTAGGGAAAAGATTTTTTTCTGTTTACAGAAAAAAAAAAATTCACTATAGTTTGTTAATATAATGCAACAGAGTTGGTAACATCGGAAATCAATCAAGACTGAAGCAACTTTTTATACTGACTTTCATCTTCAGCTGAATTACTGCTACTGACAAATCTGTAAAAATGAAATTTCATTTGACACTTTTCTCTGCTTAAACTGTTTAGAGTTTAGCTGTTAATCCAAGTGATAAATGCAATTTTCTTTTCTTTTTGGTTGGTAAAAATGATTGTTTTTTCTTGATGCAGTTTAGTTGTTTTCAGCACCTCTTCAAAATAGTCCATTTACTGCTTTATAGAATAGGAAAAGGAAGAAAAGTTTACAAAAGAAAAAAAAAAGGTTAACATTTTTATTGCTAAATACTATATTCTGATAACCAATATTAATCAAAAGTCAGTGTTTAAGGCTGATGCTAACTTTGTTTTTCTACCAAGGTATCCAAAAAAATTGTTTCAGTTGATACTATCGGTGAAATTTTTGTTACATTTGAGTACAAAATTTCACTTTTTTTTTTTTTTTTTGACGCTTATATGAGTAAACTTTCGACTGTTCTTTTTTCATCTATTTGGGAAAGAAAAAAAAA